AAAAAAAAAAAAAAAAAAAGAATTTGATTGTGAGGATGTTAAACTGCCTAAGCAAGTGAAGCACATGAAACAAATTATAACCCGGGGTGAAAATATGCAAACAGTGCTGTTAATGACTAATTAACTAATTAATGACTAATCTCAATTATTTTATAGGGCCCAGTATAACTGCTTGGAAAAATTTTATTAGCAGTTAAAATTATGTTTTAACATATGTATACAACTATATTTCATTGACATAAATTAGCAAAGGTTCTTTTCTTTTAATATTTTGTCAAATTAGTTTCCAAATGCCCCAATTCATCTCAAGAATACAATCCTTATTTTCTAGATGTCAATGTTATTGTACTTACTGATTTGGGTCTGATCCATAATCCACCAGAACATCAACTAATTTTGCAAGGCCTAATAATGCTGCAACAAAAAGTGCTGTCTGGCCCAGGGAGTTAACTGCATCCACATAAATTCCTGCAAAGCAAATACCAAAATCAATGCCAATATCCGGAATTTTCCTGAGATGTAACTAAAGAAAAAAATCAAATTTCTTTATACTATATTTTCATATATTACTGCTGTGAACTTTTTTTAGAAACAAAAAAAGAAAGCCTTCACTAGTCACACACATATATACATGAAAGGTCAAAGACCAAGTGGAAGGAAACCCCAGAGTTTATTCATCAAAAATATTATTTACGATTGGCTCGGGCGCCTTCGGTGATGGAGAAGGTGGGGCGCTGCTCGTGAGCTGGTGGTGGCGCGAGTTTGAGCCGGGCGCGCGGCATCGTTCGCTCGGCTTCCCCTGGACCAGCCGGCCCGACCCCGCTGGCTCCCGCCGACCTGCGGGGGCCCTGAGCCCCTCGGATCACGATCTGCCCCTCGGATGGGGGCTGCGCTCAGAAAAGGGGCAGCACAACCAGTTGTTTTTAAATAGGGGAGGGGTAGGAAAAGGAGCGAAAAGAACACTTCGGAGACCAGTTGTAGGCCCCAGCGAATCTTTGTAATCCATTTTAGAGGCCTGGGTTTGGAGCCAGGGAGTTGAAGATGAGAGTAACAGGGGAACAGGTTTGGGTGAGGTCCCAACGTGCATTCATGGCACCTCGTGACCTCAGAGTACTAAAAAAGATGTCTAAATAGTTTTTGGAAAAGTCTTAAAGTTTTAATTGTGTCTCCCAGGGCTGGTATTTGGCTGCTTCAACAACCAACAGTTCCTGAAAACTAAAACACTGTAACAATTCCTGTAATTGGTTTAACAGCACGTGTTTTTGCTGGGTATTTGGTATTTGCATGCCAACTGCGTCCCACCTGGTGCCCTGGGTCTGCCACACGCTGTTTTTCTTTTCACCCTGGCTGCCCTTCACATACTCCATCTTCACCAAATAGTATTTTCTGTGAAAGTCACACGCACGTGGCCCTTCACATGGTTGCCTCTCTTGTTTGTACCTAAGTTTTTCTCTAAATCAGCTTTACAGATTGTTCTTTGCTTAAGAAAGAGTAAACAGCCCACCAAAATTTGGTAGGCCCATTGTGCCACCAAGAGGTGGATAAATGGTTTATTAAATAAACACAATTAGGCAAATCTTCACTCATAACGCATAATGCCTAACACCAAAGCACTACTGAAGAATAACTCCCTCTCCCTCCATTAAAAAAATAAAATAAAAATAAATGCTTACTTAGAAAAAAAAATATTATTTACGGAAATTTGCATTGAAGCATTTTCACCACACTCTGGCAAAATAAAATGGATTAAAACGCTTTTCAGTCAGAAAGGTATAACGGAGGGGTTAATGATACTGGGTGTGTTGAGGGAAAGATAACTTAAAAAGACATCATTGGAATGGTAGACCTCACCTAAAACAGACACTATTCAACAATAGAAGAAAATTACACAAAATAGGCCAGGCACAGTGTCTCAAGCCTTTTATCCCACCACAGTGACAGACCAGCTTGAGCAAAAAGAAAAACTCAGTCTCTAATAAAGTTAGAAAAATTAGGCAGGTATTTTAGCATGGCCTATAATCCCAGCTGCCAAGGAGACTGAGGGAAGAAAATCGCTTGAATGCATAAACTCAAGATAGCAGTGAACTACGAGAACACCACCTACACTCCAACTGAAAAAACTAAAACGAGACAGCCTCAATCCTAAAAGAACATTACACAATAACCACTACTATGGGTTAAAAACAGAGAGAATAACAGTAACGGTAGAAAAAGAATCAAAAAGGCAAAAAAAAGCCACAAACAAAAAACAAAACCTCAAAAAAAAAAACAAACAAGACAAAACCACACAAATAAGCCAAAACTAACAACTTAAAACAACAGCTATCATTAAACACCACTGTAAAAAGAAAACCACTCAGACTGCGTCCTCTCCCTCTTACTCTCCCTAAAAAGGAAGAGAAGAACGATCATCAATGGCAAGTGGCAGTTGCAGTGAAGCAACACCAAGAGCCGGCTTCACGCTCAGGAGAGAACACTGCGCCTCTTCCTCGTGGTTTTCGGTGCTCTACACGTTCAGAGAAACTTCTCTAGTAACGAACTATAGAAATGATCCCTGAAAGTATAGTCTTAACCATGTTTCTCGCGCCTCTCCAAACTGGACGAAACTCATACACGTTTTGCTGATGGTGAATTTTCCTGATAACACCATTTTTCTCAAGAGGATACTAGCAAATGTTTTCTAAAAATTATCTTTCCACTACTAGAGTTCGACAAGGCATTTTGAATATGCTTGAGTTTTCAGAGACATTTCAGGCTGTCACCTTAATTAACATACAGTCGCTAAACAGCCAGTCACTCGCCAGTCATTTCTAACGCCGCCTGACTTCCTCTGCCCGTCATGTTTGCCCGCGTAATGCTGACGACAACAAAGCGCGCCGCGGCGCCAGAAACTGTCACACACGCGCCTCAGTTTGGACCCGACCGGTGGTCGAAGGAAGGAGGCTTTTCGCGAGAGAAAAAAGAAAACGAAAAACTGGCTGGGGCCGGGCGTGGTGGCTCTCGCCTGTAATCCTAGCCCTCTGGGAGGCCGAGGAGAGCAAGACCTCGAGACCTCGTCTCTACTAAAAATAGAAAAATTAGCCGGGCATGGTGGCGCATGCCTGTAGTCCCAGCTACTCGGGAGGCTGAGGCAGGAGGATCCCTTGAGCCCAGGAGTCTGAGGTTGCTGTGAGCTAGGATGACGCCACAGCACTCTAGCCCGGGCAACAGAACAAGACTCTGTCTCAAAAAAAAAAACAACAAAAAAAAGGAAAGTGGATGGTAAAAGCGACAATCCAAAGCCAAAGACCATGAGATTTACATAGCACGTGCTATTTTTAAATTTTACCTTGTGATCAAAATTCCACACATATAAATATTCTTTTGGATTATTTTTTTCAGGTCAAGGAATTTTTAGCCTATGACGTGACTTGTGTATAAACAAGCAGGACAATGTATTATTCCTTGCTTTGGGCTTCAGCAGCTTCCTGTCTCTTGGGTTAAAGACAAAACTTATCTACATATTTACAGGGTCTGACTGATACCCACGTCTCAAGCTTTTTACACCATATTCCCCCTTACTCCAGCTACACTGGCTTTCTTACTCCTCATACTCACCATGCTCCTTTCTGCCACATGGCCTTTACACAAGCTGTCCTCCATGATAGGAATTCTCCCCCTCAACCTCTAACCCCAACTTAACTTCAATTTATCATTCAGACATCTATCCAAATGTCACTGGCTTAGGGAATACTTCCTTAACCTCTTTGAGCAAATCAAACACCTCTTCTGTGTGATTATTCAATTAATGCCTGCCACCTGCATGAGACTTTAAGTTTCAGAAGGGAAGAGACTGTGAATGGCTTTGTGTACCCACTATATCCCAAGCACCTAGTACTGAATGAATGAATCCAAGTAAAGGTGTCCAGTGTCCAGAACTCGGCTAGGTAGGGGTTGTTAACATTATTATCGGCCATTTTTAAGCCATGGGAGGAGATAAGTCATGAGAGATACTACCCGAACAGCAGAGGGTTAAAGATGGAGCCCTGAGGCCCACCACTATCTTAAGATGCAAGCTGAGGAAAAAAGCCAAAAAGTAGGCAGAAGTTAGAAGAAAACCTGGAAGAAACAGGTCATGGTGACAAGAATTTCAAAAAGGAGGATCAGTCATCACCATCAAAGCCAGAGACATCTAGTAAGAAGGAGCAGTGTTCTTGGTGATAGCAGTGCTAGTGGGGTTCACATTTCTCACTGCTCAGGCCTTGCTGTGTTACAAATATTTATGGCATGTCTATATCTCCTACCAGACTGTCTACTCTACCTTAAAGGGTAGGAACTACCAAATGTATCTCCGTATCTTCAGTGCCTGGTATACTACTTCTGTGCCCAACACAAGCAAGGCTAAGAGTAGAGAAGAGCAGCAAAGAATAGCGAGAAGACAATTCTCCACGGATCTCTCCTGTTTATGCATGTCATAGAAGCAAAGCACTAACTACCCTTTGTTCTAGACCACTTTTTTTTTTTTTTTTTGAGATGGAGTCTCCTTCTCTTGCCCAGGCTGGAGTGCAGTGGCATGATCATGGCTCATTGCAAACTCCTGGGCTCAGGTGATCCTCCTGCCTCAGCCTTCTGAGTAGCTAGAACTACAGAGGTGTGCAGCCATTCCTGGATAATTTTTAAATTTATTTATTTTTGTATAGATGGGGTCTCGCTATGTTGCCCAGGCTGGTCTGAAACTGCTGGACTCAAGCAATCCTCCTGCTTCAGTCTCCCAAAGTGCTGGGATTACAGGCATAAGCCACTGCACCTGGCCTTAGACCACTTTTTTAGGATGTTTATGTTTGGAACTCAGTATCTACATTCAGAGCAAAGTAAATACATGCTTTCACTGTTTGATATAATAAAGATAATGTCTCTCACTGGAGCAAAGGGCACACTGTCCATTATAAAGCTTCCTCTACTGTAAAGCAACCCAATACATATACAATACTATCTGGATCTCTTTGCATGGCTCTGTGAGAATTGGGGCTAGAGGAACCAGCAACAAAAATGCTGATATTCTGGCTATTGCTGTTGCTTATAAGTAATAAACTATCATTCATCTCTGACCCAGGAATCTCATCATAAGCCTATAGCAGTATAACCTGTCAAATCTCTCAGACTACTCATAGTTCTTGACAGGAAGGGATTACAGTCAAGAGAAGCAGGCAGATTAATCCCAGGGGCTCAGGAGGCAAAAAATTAAATCAACTAGGGCCTCCAAAGGCTTCTCTAGGGACCAGGAAGCACTTAGGGAGGCACTCAGCAACACTTCTTGAGGGGACACAGGTGGCTGGAAAGAAATAGGTTGAAAACCACCATCCCTACAAGTTACACAAACAACATGTCCTTTGGAGATTTCCTAGTAGAAAACAACACTTATTTATTCAACAAATATTTATTTTAGGCCAGCATTTTACCCATGTTGTAGTTGATATAAGGTAACTAAA